AACGTTTCTGATAATAAGTATTTGAGTAAGGGAGCGTGATTTTTTGGGAATTTTAAAGAATTTTCGCAGTAACAGCTCAAAAAGGCAGCCGCTACTAACTTGCTCAAATAACTTTGCTTACTAAATTCACTGTTTGCTATGGAGCGTTCTTCTCTGCGACCTGCATGGCTGATAGGATCCTAAGGTTTGTAAAAGTACTTAGAAGTAGTTTACTTCTACCGTTTATAGATACTACTGCATCTATGGGGCCGTTGCATAGTAAAGTAAGTAAATTTCCTTTTATTTGAGCTTTTGTTTATAAAATGAGTGTTGTACAATCGTTGATACCTTGAATTCTCTTTGAAAGCACCTATTTTTATACAGAAATTAGGAGGATGCATTTAGGCTTGCGGTAATTTAATATACTATCTCGGTGTAGGAATGTTTTATGTGGATTTTCGACAAATGAAATCTGACGAGGTTGGGGATGCGAATCTCGAGAAGCGCAACTTACAGATTTAGCTAGTTCAAGAAATCATTCTTGGCGTCTCTCTTAGAAGCACTTTATTAAAGCTGTTTTATCACCCATGACGTCTTACTGTATTATCACTGGTTGATAATAATAACTCCAATCCAATCAGCAGTAATTAAGCCCATTTTTTTCTTGTAAATTTTAGTTCATATGAAATCATTTGAACAGTACACAACCCTCAGTGAAGGTGAATGGTCTATGCAGTAGAAGGAGCTACCCGCTATCTTATGACCATTCATATTTTGAAAAAATATCTTTTTCTATGATCATCTCAGCAATTTTATTAGGATAATCACAAAGTTTTTATTTTACAATTTTCCTTATGAAGGCGGCGTATAGAAAGAAGGCTGGATGTGTTGAGATGCTTACCTATTCCGTATTTTTGCGGAACAAACCTATTTATCAGTTACTTCGAAAAGTGAAAGAAAATTTTGCGATTCCAGTTAACTTTCAAAGATATGAAGAGTTGGACGAGCTGGAAATTAGAGGAGTTTGACGAAACTGAAAATTAAATTCGGAAATTGGAAAAGAAGAGTGGTTAATCCCAGTACATTCATTTCTCCAAAAATTGTTTCGCCTCTATTTGAAAATTTATTTTAAAAAAATTTAGTAGCATTCCCTGTTGCTTTTTGGTCAAGATCTTGCAAATGCTGGATGCCATGTGTCCTTCCAAAACCCGAAATCCAATATCCAGAAAAAATCCATTTATCTGAATTAGGGCAACGCGTAGCACAAGCTCTATTAGAGCTCGACTATCTCTAGATCTTCTTTAAATTTTACTTCTATGTTATGGTTATGGAAGCTTTTGTTAGAAGAGCAAACCTCTCCATTGTGGTTAAAAAATGGGCGTGGCTTACCCGTTTAATGTTCAAAGGGATTGTTTGAAATAAAATATATTTTAAGAAAAATGAAATTTTGCAAATTTAATAAACTATCACCATGAATAATTTATGCAAATTTTTCAAAGTAGTTTTATGGACGGAGACATGAACATCTCATATTTACCGAAGAAATAGAAAGGGCTTTGAGGAGACGCAGACACAATGATTTCTCGATGACGACAAATGGGCTTAGAGCTAAAACTTCCTGAATGCGTGATGTGATAGTTGACACGAAATCACATTCGGGCGATGTCTCCAGATTTGGTACGTCAACTGCATCATCGTCAGCATGCTCTAACCCAGCCATTATCTCTCAACGCTTCTTCAGTGGTTGAAGCAGCAAATGTTTGCGCACACATACGGAATTCTTTGGTTTCACGCTTCGAACCCGCCCTTAACAGCGATCTTCTGTGGTTATCTCGAGAAAAACCCAGTTTTTTGTGGCATTTAGCTATTTTTGTATAAGCTCCGCCCACTTCTGCAAACTTTGCATGTTTAGGATTCTGCGGATTTTGCGGGCTGCCTATTGCTGGGATGCTTGAATTTATATCCATAGGCGAATGTTTAATGTATCATTATTGGAAAAATTTATGTGTTTCCAATCGGGACCTTAAGGGAATAGTAATCAATAAATTGATTGACTTATAGGACCGCCCAAATTCTTTGAAATTTATTCAGACAATAAAGCTGTTTTTGGTAATCTAAATAAAAAAATTTTGAAATACATACAATAGAAAATTTGGAGAAATCAATGAAATGCTGTTTCCTGTGCTGACATCCGTTCAAATCACTCTATCACATAACAAT